AGCCATCACGGAGCCAGGGCTCGCGTCTGGGAGCACCCCGGGAGAGGCAGGGCTGGGGGAGAGCCTCCGGGGCAGCAGGACCCAAAGCCCAAGAGGAATGGTGGGACAGGATGAATGGGCAGGGGAGGGCATTGCAGAGATCTCGATTTGGAAAATGAATAAACTTGGCCCAAATTGACTTCATCCTCCTGACAGTTGGGTGCTAGAGCAGAAGAAGATAGATCCAAAAGTACCCCTCGGTAAAAAGGAGTGTGTTATATTTGAAACCTCTTCTGCCTCTGCTTGATCTACTGGTACGCTTTGCTTAGGAGGAAAAAAATGTGTTGCACATGCATACTGCTGATTTATTCTGAGAGGGCTAGAGGTCAAATTTTATTCAAGTCAGATACCAAAACATTGGATATCTCTCTCAATTTTGTGGACTCTCAGTAACTTTCAAAACTGGACTTAATATTTCCCAAGAACAGAGTTTCTCAGGATATTCTCTGTACCTTCTTAGCCTGGCAGGAGATACCGTGAGAACTATCGTTCTTGTATTAATTTGGCATTTTTGCTTGAAAGCAGATTCTGTGAGTGGGAGAGAGAAGGTGGAATTTAGATATTTCAGAATTATTTGGCTCTGCATCTATTTATTCCACAAATAGATAATATTTCAGTGAAATCATAGAGTTTTTACTTTTTTGAAACTCTCTTGCCTGTCTTTACCAAATTCTAGTTAAAAATAACCCACTGGCTTTAAAACAGATGTGATCCTGCATGCCACCTTAAAACTTCTGAGCTTCTCAAACCATGTTAAGGTCCTTGTGCAGACAGAAGGCACTAGATGTCACCAAAGGTGTCCAGCATCTGGCAAGACCAAGGTCATTGTGGCAAGAGACTAAACTCACCGTGATGGTGATGGAGTCCTTCCTCTCCCAAACTGCCGTATCCATGAAGGGAAGGAGTTGGGGTCGAGAGACGAGAGGGTGTGAGGAAGGACTGCCCCATATGCATCTCACAGCTCTCACACACTTATCACAACTTCTGTCACGTGTGTCCTTACCCCTGTACTAGAATTAAGTGAGCACTTTGCAGTCTACCATATTCTGTGGGTTTAGACACAATATGGAACCCATCCCCAAAGACAGGATCCCCGATAAAATTGCAAGAAGCATTTAAAATAAAGGAGAAACATCAGCAGTGATAGAAATGTGGGGATTTGGTTTTTTGTTTGGTTTGGGTATTTTTTTAAATAGCTTCATAAATATCTATTCCCAAGGAAAATAATTCCCAAAGGCAAAACTGTAAGGAAGCTGATTCATTTGTCATGGTGTCAAGTCTGTTCCTGAACTGAAGGATTTCTCATGTACTTAGCAAGTGAGAGAAGTCTGATTAAGGCTAAGAATCTCTTGTTTAATTAAGCTTCTCTATACCTCTTGAGAGCAAGCACTGTCTTCATTTTACATATAGGTAAACTACACCATAGAGAGGTAAGAGGCAATTCCTTTTCCCTGAGCAGAGCACGCAAGCTAAGGACAAGGCATGTCAGCAGGTTCTGGAGGAAATCCTCCCCTTCTTCAGCTTTGTGGCACCAATACCTTCTAATGCACACGCACATAAAATACCTGCAAATGTTACATTCAACTTCCAATTCTGGGTGCGTGGTCACTGTGCGTGGTCATGTCTGGGACAGGACAATGCACTCACAGGCAGGGGATTTGCATCCCACTTGTATGTGTTGGGTAACTTTCTCCAGGCTGTTTCCAGAGCTCACCTCAGTCTGCTTTGGAGACGATCACGAATGAGCAGTTGGCACCGCACAGACTGTAGGCAAGGGAACAGGGAGAAAATCCCCAAATCACCTTTTTTCTCCCCAGGAGAAACCTTAATTTCTCCTAGTAGAATTAACAATCCCACCTGCAATTTCTAAGGGCACCTCTGAGGCTCTTGCTCTGTAAAGCTCTGTTGTGATGTAGGTCGTATGTTAACTTGCAGTAGAAAAAGTGCGTGTTCACTACAAAAGTTTTTTTTTTGAAGCTTACCAAGCATATACTACATTTATCCAGAAGAAAAGTAGCCATCCTCAAGCACGCTGCTTCGTAAAGTTGTGAAGTTGTAATGTTACCATTCAGCACGATGTTGTAAAACAACGCTAGGGTGGTATTATCATAGGTTACTGCCGAATATATGGTAATGAGTGTGACCTCCTCAGGTGCAAGGTCCAACTGAATCCGGTGGAAGCTGCCACGCTGCTACATGCAAGAACAGATTTATAACTCCTTTTTCTCTCATGCTTAGTGTGAATTTAGCTACTAGAAAGAAATACATTTTATTAGAAAACCTGCATAATACTGTATTGAAACTGTGATAAAATTATTGGAAGTATTTGACATTATCATCTTCTTTTCTGTCTTTGATACCAACATTTTCTTGTAGACTTCTTATACAGGCTGCACTAATTATTGTACCATATAATCCTGTGCCATCAAAAAGACTAACACATTAGCTATTTCTCAATCTCTTCATGCTTTCGTTTTCTGTGAATCACATCAGTGACAGCAGTTAAGTAAATCAAAGTTTATAAGACTTGGGGAAAAATTGTCATATACTACACACAAAACCAGCTACTGTATTTCAAAGTTTTGGTTGAAGTAACAATATCAAAGGATTCCTGTCATATGGGAATCTTTTCCTCTCGTTCCTGCACTATATACTATTAAAAGGCTTTAGTAAGCGAAGTGCAGTAAACCCAAAGTCCCCCTTTTACTCCTGGTAAAAAAAAAAAATATAGCAACAGCGACAACCAAAACCAAGGGAATCTTTCCTGTGGGTACACCTGGTGTGTATGTGTGTGAGTGTGTGTGCTTTGCTTTTTCTGCTACCTTTCCAACAACAATGTTGAAAAAACAAAAAGTATTAGAGCAGAAAGGCTCTAATTATTTTAAAGTTCTCTGATCAGCTCCCTGTATTCAGTAAAAGAAAACATTTCAGACCTTTCTTACCAGTTGATTCAAGTAGTTTCTTTTGTTAGTATTTGCCAGGTGACCTTTAAGGAGAAGTGGAGTAAAACTTTGCTGCTGTTTTCTTCCTCTGAAACTTATGCAAAAAAGTAAATCTTTGGCTTTACTCTTTATGGTCAGACATTTTCATTCGGGGGAGCAGAGGATGGGTAATTTAAATTACTTTTGTTTGGTTGTGGGTTTTTTTTCCCCAGAAGAAAATGCTCCTTCACAAATGGCCTTTGCTTTTCTCCTTAGTCAATAAATCACGAGAGGCCCCAACCTAGTAAACCTGCCTTGGACTGATGCTTTATAAGCACTTTAGAGTAGTAATTAATCAACGTGCCGCTCCTCAGCGCAGAACACAAGTAATGGGGAGCGAGGCAGGTAATGTTTTCTGTAACGAGAGGATGGCAGAGCGGTGCCCGCGCTGGAGGATGCTTGCAAAGCCGCCTTGCGCAGCGGCGGGCGTCTTCCCGGGGGTTTTCTCGTCTAGCATAAAGTGCAACACCACCAAAGCCTGGCCTGGTGGCTAGTGCTCCTTCCCGTCCCCGTTTAACTCTCCTCCGCACCGGTGGTCCTCGGCCGTGACGTGGGCTCGCTTTGCTTTACTTTCGCCGCAGCAAAGGCTGGAGCGGTTTGCTCTGCTCCTCAGAAACCTCCCTTCTGCAGGGATGTACACACGTGTCAAAGCTTGCAGAACGCATATATTGTTCTGTTCATGCGCAAATACAAATCACCCCGGCTTGACTGAGGTATTCGTCTTCCTTGGTAGTGGATTTCTACCTGTATGAGGAAAGAGCAGGAATACTTGAAAATAATTGCTCCCCTAAAGTGAGTAAATTTAACCTTTAATTAGGGCTTTTTCCTTTGTTTATTTGATATTTGTGTGTTTATTTTCTTGGTCGTAAACAGACTACTTAAATGGTAAACTGCAGAGGGAAAATGCAAGTATTTATGGAATAATTCACTGGAAATGGAGTGTATGTTTTATGCCAACCACTGGCCTCAGTCAATAGGAATATCACCTCTTGGTATGTCTCCAGTAAAATTGCACCTTTTACCGATATCTGGTTTGATTTAATACTGGAAAAGGAATGCAAAGCTTTTAGGTTTTAGCTATTCTTTGTGGTATATTTTCCTCATGAAACAATACAAAGAAAGTAGTTCTTGACAAGTCACATTTTTCCACACAGTGATCTCTTGTTAGAGACCTGTGAGACTACTGTAATTTCCTTCCCATTACGTTCAATGAATTCCATGCCCGTGAAAGAGAAAATGGATAGTGGAGCCTGAGTTCCTGTGCTACCCACTGCGTAGGTACCGAAAGGAGGATGGAGACTTACCATGGGATTCCTTACATTGCTCTTCTGCTATACATTAGCTTTAATCTTCCGCTGAGCAAAATATAGGCATTTGTAACAAAAATAATGAGAGTTAGCCCTTTGGAGACTCTATGGTATGGGTCAGATTTACCTTTCAGTATCCTGATGTAAAACGCTGAGATCAGAGGAGTTACACCAATGTAAAACAGGTGTGCATCTGCACACACGTATATAGAGACAGACGTGTATTTCCTTTCATTTAACAAACATCTATAATTCAGACCTTGGCCTCTACCAAAACAAACCTTTTATAACTTTAAATTGCTGTTTCTATCGGGTTGTTACTAGAAGTGTCTCATCAACTGTAGATAAAGAAGATCACCAGATAACCAACCTTAATGCCTGCACAAAAATCAACTCATAAGTCTGACCGTGCAAGCATCATGATATCCCAGCACTTCAACTTCACAACAAACTTCCCTTCCGCTTAAAGAGTGTGAGCAACCACAATACACGCATCCATTTCGAGCGAATCACACGCACAGTTTTAGCTTTGACCTAGAATGAATTAACTTCTATTCCCAAAGCTGTATATACAGCGTTAAGCTATCTGGGGTTAATTTGCTGGAAAAAAGGATTAGAAGCAAGTTTGTGTGTCTCTGAGAAATAAAATTTTGTCTCAGTTGTTTATACATAGGCATAGAAAGAAATCAGGAAGCAACAGGGTATGTGGAAGAAGAGGGAAAGGGTTACAGCCTCGAGTTTCCCGAGAAGCACAGCTTGCAGTTCTGCTGCGGAGAAGGTTTCTCCATCTGGCAAGCCTCCTGGGATGCCAGACTGGAGCAACCAGTTTGCAGGAGCTGTACACGGGGACACCTTCCCCGGCCGGCCGTCAGTCACCGCAGCCAGCCCCGTACTGGTGCCAGTACTCTTGCTTCTACCCATCAGCCTCCTACCAGTCTGCTCGGCGGCGTGAACTGGCTGCGCGGAGGCCGTAAAATCTGCTAAAATTATATCCGGCAAGGATGTAATATCGGTCTGCTCCAAGCAGTGTGGGTTAATGGGTGAACAAGCCTGAGAAAAAACACAGGAGAATTAAAGCAACTCCAAGAGCAGCGAAGGGAGTTCCTTGGGCTTCTTCTCATACAGGCGAAATTAGGTTATGGGAAAGAAAGGAATGCACTTTTTGTGTTTTAGCGAAACATTTCTAAACTGTGCGAAATATGGAGGTGGCGGTTACTGTGAATGTATAGTTACAAGCCTTTCCCCACTTCCACCTCATTCCCCAAATAGAGTTTCCAGTGACATTAGCAATGAAGAAATGTGCTGAAAAACAGTTCTGCTTCAAGAAAGGGAATGCTTTAGAAAAGTCAGTTGTCTGTTGAGGAGTTGCATGTTATACCTGGAGACAATATTCTACCACACAGTGTAAAACAGCCCTCCTTTATTCCCGAATTGCAAAGGAGCCTTAACTGTAGCGTTTCTGATAATGCTTCCATAATATATATGTATGTGTATGTGTGTGTGTGTGTGTTCTCTGAGGCATTCGTTTGGCTGGCACATTGGAAAATGGTTAACACAGTGAATGTGGGGTGTCATTTTTGTAGTGGAGAATGTGTGCCAGAAGAATTCAACTGTAACCACTAAATATTTGCTTAAAAATAATTTTAACCATCTGGACTCCTTTTTTCTTATTATTCTTATTCTTCTTTTGAGGTGGGGTGAGAAGGGAGTATTTTAATAGGAATGATTTGTGGTTACAAAATGAATTTGGTTAATTTGGTTACCACCCCCGTTTATATGATGACTACAAATAGTCCCTAACATCTGAAGTTTTAAAGAACCAGCAGATTTTTCTCTCTTGAGCTTCAGAAGCTGGAAACGAACTTACAAAGGACAATAAATTGTTCTTGATGGAATAAATAGTTTGTGGGGTTGCTATTGTTCCTCTTGACAATACACTAACATGTGCTAATGGAGGAAGAATTGAAGCGCTTGCGTAGCTCAGGCTCTTCTGCCAGGCTGAATTTTTCCACTTCGGAGGGGGAGTCGGGCTCCCCGCGCGCGGGGCAGGGACGACGTGGTGCTGGGATTCCCGGGAGCACCTGCCGCCCGCCCCCCGGCCGGAGGGCTTTGGGTGCCGTCC